TTTTTTGTTTTTTTTAAAAAAAGACGACTTTCACCTTTCACTATGTTGCTCTTGAACCAGGACCAGGAATGAAAGTTACTGGGAGATAACTTCGAAGGATTTTGCAACAAATTCGAGCTGTCCGACTCTGAGAATGGTCAGTTTACCAATGGTTCATTTGCTATTGTTGGAAACAAGCAGGCAAATACTGATTGACCATCTTTTAGACTTGTGGAAGCCAGTCTGATACTGAGAGGGTAGTTGGATTATAAATGACTTGTCGGGTTCCTAGAGTCTTGTAACTACAGCTGATTTCTTTTCTCTTCCTTGACTTGTCCCACAAACAAACTCACCTATCTGAAAGCACCTAGGACATTTGCTTATGATTCAGGGTTAGAGCAGTGTGGCAGACCTCAACCTTGAAAAGGCTTAAGTTTTCAATACAACAATAATTTAATTTTGTGAGGCTGTCAGCAGATTTTTCCCCTGATCCATTTTAGCAGTCATTTTTTCTTATCTTTAAACTGCAACTGAGGAAATACTGTTTACCTAATTATTGAATCAGATTAGCCTGTTACTCCACCACTGACTGTAATATCCAGGAATATTTTGTGGGAGTGCGGGCCAATGACTTTTACCTCATTATATTAAAAAAAAAAGTAATATGTGTCTTGGCTGTTCTCAGTTCTCCTTTAATTATTCATTTAGATTTCAGTTATCCTTCAGTTCAGCTGAAGCTTACTTTGTGGATGTTGTCAACTTGTATAATGCATATGATTAAAAGTTTTCATTTGTTTCACTTCCTTGGTAAATATTTTCTGCTTATTTTATTCAAAAACTTTTTGAAGAATATTTTCTATTAACCTATTTAGGCTTTGCTTTTATCCCTAGTCTCATTAGGGGATGATTATTATTATTATTATTATTTTGAGATTTCCATAGTCCCAAAGTCTGGTCTGTCACATCTTCACTCCTAGAGCCTTGGAAAGTAGGAGCTTTGGTTACATGATTTAAAATGTTTAAATTCACAGATTTTACTAAAGTGAAACCTGTACCTTTCAAAGTACTACTCAGAGCATCACGGTTTTTGAAATGCGAACTAGAACAGAAAATATTCATCAGAAATTATCTTGAATGGTTGAGTCGTTTAATACACTGCTATGTATCAGTTATGTACAAGCCCTGTATTGTGTACATTAGGGAATGTGAGGATGAGATCAGAAATACATTTAAGGATCTCATAGTGTGGATGATACTCTAACTTAACGAACATAATTTTAGCAAGGAGGCATTCAAGTTGTTTTAAAGGATTTCCATTTGAGTCTCTTTATACCTTCTCCTTGGAAGATCTCATTGATTTTCGTATAACCTTAACTGATCAGTTCACACATCTGCATTGCCAACCTTGACTTTGTTCTGCATCCAGTCGCACATCTTAAATTGTGTGGATGACACCCATCAATTCCAACAAAGCACATTCCTTCTCCTAAGGGGAATTAGTTATGACATCCCAATTTCTGATAATGGTATTATCCTTCACTGATCAGTCCCCCCACCCTTTTTTTTTTGAAGACAGAGTCTTGCTCTGTTGCTCAGGCTGGAGTGCAATGGCACCACCTCGGCTTACCGCAACCTCTGCCTCCCAGATTCAGGCGATTCTCCTGCCTCAGCCTCCTGAGTAGCTGGGACTACAGGCACACACCACCACTTCCTGCTAATTTTTTGTATTTTTAGTAGAGACTGGGTTTCATCTTGTTAGCCAGGATGGTCTCAATCTCCTGACCTCTTGATCCGCCTGCCTCGGCCTCCCAAAGTGCTGGGGTTACAGGCGTGAGCACCTCGCCTGGCCGATCAGTCACTGTTAAACCTCCTGAATGATCTCTGATTCTTCCTCCTTTCATCCCCCTGTACCTACCAGTTGTTAAGCTCTGTTGCTTCTTTATTCGTAGTGTTTCTCATATCTTTCTGTTTCCATGACTTCCCTCATTTATGCCTGCACTACCACAGTGTCCTTTTACTTGTTTTTACCATCTCAGTGCAAGTCCATTTCTACATTAATTTTCCTAAAGAACCCTTTATACAGCTGCTCTTGTTTCTTTAGTGAATTTGTTTTGCCCAAAGGCCCAAGTTGATAGTCAGCTTCAGATTTGAGATTCTTTATCTTCTTCTTTTTCTTTTTCTTTCTTTTTTTTTTTTGAGAGGAAGTTTTGTTCTTGTTGCCCAGACTGGAGAGCAATGGTGCAATCTTGGCTCACTGCATCTTCCGCCTCCTGGGTTCAAGCAATTCTCCTGCCTCAGTCTCCTGAGTAGCTGGGATTACAGGCACCTGCCACTACGCCTGGCTAAAAATACAAAATTTTTGTTAGAGATAGAGCTCCACCAAGTTGGCCAGGCTGGTCTGGAACTCCTAACCTCAAGTGATCCACCCGCCTCCACCTCCCAACGTGTTGGGATTATAGGTGTGATTCTTTATTTTCTACACAAGCATCCTTTTCACTGGCTTTCTCAGGTTAGAGTGATAACAGGATTTTTTCCAAACTCCAATAAATCTTATTGTCTCTGTCTACTCATTTGTACATATGAATTTTAGCTTTGTGTATGTGTATTCTGTTTGACTACTTTGAGGTTCTGTCATTTGCTAGGCAGGCATGGTGTTGAGTTTGGTAATACCGCGGTAAGCTACACAGACCTCTGTCCTTTTGGAAATGTTAGCCTAATGGGAAAAATAGTTATCAAATAATCACACAGTTAGTTTGTAAATGGTGATTAGTATTACGAATGAAATATATAGGGTGGTGTTCAAACATGTCATAGAGGAAACTGATCTAATTTGAAAGGCAATGAAAAGAACTAGGGAAGGTTTCCCTGAAGAAGTGACACTGAGCTGAGAGTTTAAGGATGAGTAAAAACTAACTAGAAAAAGTGACAGAGGAAGAGCATACAAGGCAAAGGGAACTGCTTTTGCAGAGGTCTTTAATAATACGCTATCTTGTCGTCTTAGAGAGTAAATTCATTGAGAAGCAACACTTCGTCTTGCAAATACTAGGTACTCAGTAAATGTTTGATTGAACGATCTATTTTGGAGGGTTGGACAAACTCTCCAGCTGTCTTTCTAGACTGCAGCATGACTACCCCAAGCCTCTTTGGTTTGCATTTAACATTACAACATCACCCTTTTCAACAAATTCATAAATTTCTCCCATGTTTTCTATACTTTTGAATTATGTCGATTGCATTTTAAAAAATGTTTATTTTGAAATAATTATAGATTCACAGGAAGTTGCAAAGATAGTACAGAGAGATCCCTGTGTATATTTCATCCAGTTTCCCTCATAGGTTACATCTTATATAATTATAATATCAAAACAAGGAAATTGACATTGGTATAAGTATGTAGCTCTGTATCATTTTATTACATACATATATTTGTGTAACCATTACCACCACTGTCAAGATACAGAAATATTCCATCACCACAAAGATCTCCCTCATACTCCCTCTTTATAGTCCCCCCTACCTAGCGTCTCCCCCCAACAGGTATCCCTAACTATTGGCAACCGCTAATCTGTTCTCCATCTTTATAATTTTGTCATTTTCTATAATGTTATATGAATGGAATCATACAGTATGTGACTTTTTGGGATTGGTTTTTGTCACTCAGCATAATACTTTTGAGATCCATTCCATTGTTGCATGTATCAGTAGTTTGTTCCTTTTTATTGCTGAGTACTATTTCATGGCGTGAATGTACCACAACTTGTTTAACCATTCATCTGTTGGGCATTTTGGTTGCTTCCAGTTTTTGGCTATTATAACCTAGTATGAACAATCATGTACAGGTTTGTGAGGACATAACCTTTCATATCTCTGAGCTAAATGTCCAGGAGTACAATTGCTGAATCATATGGTGAATGTATATTTAGTTTTAAAACAAACTGACAGACTTTTCCAGAGTGGCTGTACCATTTTACATTTCTTTTTTTT